TTACCAGCCCACTTTGATTCTGGAAAATTCACATCTGCAGGTATAACTGAAATCATGAGCTAATGTATCTAAGCATGACACAGTTCGTGTTCATTATCAGGACAAGCCCGGTTCCCAGCTTTTCAAGCTACGATCCGTCACTTTGGTTGATCATGTTTCACAGACTTTCAAGGGAACCCTACTCTGCCAACTGCCAACTTCAAGAGTTTCAAGGTCCAGTGAAGGACCCGATGTTCCAGGTTCATAAAGAGATTCTCTAGATCCATTAGATAACGGTTTTGCTCTTGGGAATGGAAACCTCCTTCCTTCGACATCATGGAAATCAATGGAACCTCATTGGAATGTGTCGTGCCATTGTAGCAAATGTGCTTGCATAACAAGTCTTTGCCGTGCAACGCTGATAAAATCCTGTTCGTTCTGCAAGTGTCGGAACAGATGACTGCAAAAATACTCATAACTCTAAATAACATGATGAGTATGGACTTGGGACTATAATGCTTTTGCAATCATAAGGTTATTATAGCCAATAGGGAATAAATGATTTTCAAAAGTAGATGCCAACCCTGTATATTTGTAGGCACCTATCGAACTAGATAGCCAGCATAGTCATTCAAAAACATGTCTTTTTCATTTTAGAAAAAATGACCTTTGGACTTTGTGGTGTACTGCTACCTTTGCTAGAATTATGGAGTTAGTGCTTTGAGGATTGACCTGGAATGTGGTGTTAGTCTTTCTAGATGATATTTTGATGTTGGGTCTGGATTTGAGTCATAAAATTTAGAAAATGTGTTCATAGGAATGCTGCAATATGAACTGAAACTCAAGATGCCGATGGCATTTTTGCCATTATTACTGATCATAGTAGTCTTACCTGGTTGGTTGTTGTGATTCAAAGAACAACAGGCTCAGTTGGAGAGATAGTCAGAGCAATTAAGTCATTATGATATGACTGTAGAACACCGTCCTGGGAACAAACATTTCAACGTGGATGCGGTATCTATGTTTCCCAGTGATGTGGGGTTTGCAGAATGCAGTCATGTAATGCCACTGAATCTTGTTCCAGGTTCCATGGCATTTGGTGTGCACAAGTGTAAGTAGAATATCATCAAAAAAAGAACTAGATGGTGTACACAAATATCTGAACTTGTTATTATATGGGACCCTGGGGTTATGAGCTGATTGATATTTATTGTTCTGGTTGTGATATCCCTTCAGAGATAGAGAGGTGTATGCATTCCAATAATATTCCAATTTATCTAGAATGTAGGATACAGATCTCAAATAGATACTTTCATCCAGCTTACAACTTGCAAGTCTGGTAACTTGTGTAGCATTTTACTGCCTCCTAAAGTCAAACAATCTCATTTGCTGAAAAATGGCACTGGCTCCATCAATTGCTCTAGGTTATTCTTATCCTGTAACCAATCATATATGTAGTTGCAGTACTTACATTTAATAGTCCAATCGCTGAACAGCTTTAGTACCAGCAGTACGAGATGATCAGTAACATGGCACAGCATCCATTTGCCACCTTGCATCCCCCGTTCCATGTTAGTGTCACACGCAACATAATATTATCGTAACAGGTATAGTACAGGTGTGATGGTTCAATTACCAAAATGGCAACAGTAACAGAAAGACTTCCCTAGCGGCGATGATAAAACACCAACATGGAGCCAACAGATGAGGTTTCAACTGGTACTGGTATTATTATACTTAGCAAGTACAATAACGCGGTAAAACTCTACTACTCCAATAACTAGATACTTAAACTCCAATACAATTCAACAAGATCTCCGATCTGATCTCAGTGCTGAACAACTCCCCTATATATACCCCCACTGTCTATAAATAGACCATTACATCAGCATACATAATGAGTCTGGAACTTACTACAAATTTCTAGAATGTTACATTACCTTCTATTGCCTTCTACAGTGTTCTATTACCTATTCAACCAGTTCCTAAAAATCTAGAATATTCTACCCAGACACAGTACGTTTCTAGAACATTCTCAGTGACACGGAAGTGGTAAACAAGTCGTATGCGACAGTTAGTGACCCATAACATTGCTCTTTATCACCCATTACTGCCCCAGTCGCCATCCAGTGACGTTGGGACAGCACTAATCTGAATGATCATTCATCAAGACTCCTTGTCTCCAAAATCCGCAATTTGGGACTGACCATGATCAACCATGAGTACTCCTTCAACACAATTAACATTCCTTACCTTATTTATACAAATTCCCAGCATTCCCAAAATGAGGTCTCCTACCATCATCTCTGCATACTGCAGAGACCCAGCAGGCATAGTAGATTCACTGATACTTTTGACAATGCCTGCATTACTCAACTTATCTAAAGTGTATCGAGTATACTCATTACACTTTCTCAGACTATAGAGATGTGTATGCATTCCAATATTTAAATCATGGTAGAAGAAGAGGCTCTCTAATGGTATCCACATGTGGGCATAACAACAGGATATTATTAATTTTTTATCGTATCAACTGAAGGCGAGTGGTGAGAAGGTGAGCAAAAGGGTGAAAGTATTAGGGTTGTACAAACCCGTTTGTTTACCTAATCATACCTAATCTCCTGCGCCAAGCTGGTGTGTGCTGCTTGAGGTGGACGGGGGTTCGGAACTAGAGCTCCCCGAACTCAAGCCTCCAGCGTAGGAGGACAAAGACGGGGAGGCTGAGCCCAAGTCATACCAACATCCATGCCCAGGCAGCCGGTGAAGCCTTTATAGAGACTTTGTGGCTCCCTGCCCCCTAGAAGTGCCAGAACGTCCTACCACCAGGGCCATGTTGGACCTCTTCTGACATTTCTCGCTACTGGTCTTCTTCTGCCCCTTAGAAGGAGACCACAAGCGCTTAGATCCTTGCTGATTCTGGTCCTAAGCAGGGGACTTATTACCTGAGCCGTCATGGTTTTTGTTTCAACTGTTGGCCGAAAAAGGCAAACACCCCTAGCCAACAAGAATGATTGCTTCAATTTGATACGTTGATTCTGAGCAACCACCAAAATGACTACCGCATCATCTAGCCGGTCACGTGCCCAAGGCCCTCTCCGCAGGCAATCAAACTCATCTCCCGTTGGAGTAGGGTAGGCCCACTAACTCAGTACTACCTCCCGCTCAACCGAAACCGCTCCTGCCAAGAGGACAATATGGACTTGCAGGATGACATGGTGACTCTCAGCGCAGCCAAAACTGGTCCATCTGCCCAAAGATCGTGGTTCATTGCTTAGCACTCAGACAGTCAGAAATTAAAAGAGTGAGCTGACGCTCTAACCCATTCTACAAAATTGATGCCCAATGCACTTGCAGGCTCTGGTGCCGGTCAAATGGCCATGCAACATGGCCTTCCAGATTTGTGCAACCCGCCTTAACAAAGGCATGAGTACTGGGATCCGGGCGGGGAACCCGTGAAGAAGGCTGTGGCACTGCACGAGTAACCCAAATCAGGGACCCGTTGACACGTTTGCGTAGCGCCCTCAGTCCACGATAGGAGGCAAGCCTTGTCTCACTACCAGACACATTGTTAGCTTCGGCTGGGTAATTCCCTTTTAGAGTGAAGCATACCAGCTTTTTTCTGCGATCACTTGCCCTCAGCTTCAACCCAGCTTCAAAGTGCTACCACGATCGAGAATGCCACAGATCACAAATTCCGTTGAGGCAAAATCCTGAGTCCCATTTGCACATATGTTTTGGGTCCCAAACTAGCAGCTCTAAGTGGTAGGATGGAGCTGGCGATTCAACAAAAACAGGCAAAATCTGGGGCCCTTATAATTGAAAATCCTTACTGTGATGCCGAAACTGTCAATGTAGATCGTCAAAGCACAAGATTTCTAGGAAGCTCGGTGAACAAACTAAAATATTCCCAACATCGTGCACCGGAAACAAAACAAAAAATCGCCCTGGGGGTTACCCCTTAGGCGAGGCCTTTTTCTTAGAGAATGTTACCCTAGGGTGTTCCCTTTGGACCAGTGTATATTCTCTAGTAGTTTCGTTTTGGGCTGTAATTAAGCCTAACGAGTAATAAATGAAAGTTATTATTTCCATGGATTTTTTGGTAGGTGATGCAGTAAACTGGGTGAACCAAAAAATGTAACAAGGTATCCACTTGTACATGCATTTACTAATCATCTGGAAGTTTGAGCTACTTACAATAATGTAAATGGTTAATGAGCAGACTTTCAGCTTTTAAGTCCATACCCTAGTCGAAAGTTGTCAACCAGTGAACCTGAACAAGGGTAACCAGACTATGTACACCCTGAAAATAGTAAACCACCAAGATGGTCACCTCCATGTAGATGAGTAATACTGAATTAAAACATAGCACTGCTCAGCTGGCCGAGGTGGGAAATGCTTTTGAGAAAGCCATTCCAGCTAACAATTTAGGCACCTCCACTTTTTACCGGGCTGTGTTATCAGCCCACTAGTATCCATGATTAGATCAGTCTACTCATGCACAACATCACATTGGGTATTAAGTGCCACAAGGAGACACCAGAATTACTATACTTTCACCACTAGTTTTTTACAAGTTTTTAACACCACCATGATGAAAGATCTCCCTTTCTGAAGCAAATTGATATAGCGCCCTCTCTGGCAATAATCAAATCAAGTTTATACATCCATAACTGATGGGTGAGGGCATAGTCCTTTCAACAACAAAAAGGAGTCAATTGAAAACTTGGATGGCACAGTACTATCACACAATTTTGTGTACATTGTGCTAGTATGGAGCAGGTGTAAACTATATTTAGACTACCTGCAAAAAATACTGCATTGGGACTCAAAGAGATGCACATTTTTCAGTCAATGAAATATTGTGCCAAAATTGCAAACCTGTAATTCTGAGAAAACTACCTGCAGTACCCGTGTGATAAATATAAAAACAATATGGCTTGTGGTTCTGCAAAGTTATTGATGGATATGAATTACTCTACTACTAATCTTTTACAGTATTGCTAAAATCAAGGCATACAAAATTGTCTGAAATTATCAGTGAGTTTTATTGCAGAATAGATTCTAAAGAGTTCACAAAATGAACAATAATAATATCATGCTCCATAATACAGAGTGAATGATTGAAATATTAAACCACCTAGCAAGTGTTTACAACAAATAGCACAACCTACTCTATGCTACTGTGACGTTATTAAAGTTCTAGCATACAAGAGAACTGTACAACTAAATCTTTACTGGTCACATGCATACACTGATTACATCATTCACAGTAGTTAACACGCGAGGTAACACTGCCATCTGTATCATGTATGTGACATGTGACCATTAAATATACAGTACAGACTGTGTAAATGAAGCCTTCAGGTCAGTCACAAATCATATTCTACTCAAAATAAAGTACATTAACAAAATGGACAACTATGGAAGACCCTGTAAAATGGGTGAAAGCCTCAACAAATTTTCAAATTAAAGTTTACAAGTTAGTATCGATTCCATGATGACAAAGACAGGTGATTTTACTGCCAATTTTTACAAAATGTTTTCAAATAGTTTTATTTTCATGACAGTTTCCAGCTGCAGAGATGTCCTGAACCTCAAGAACAAACCAAGACTTCATTTGTCAGTTAGTTGAGTTTTCGGCATTTCATAAAATTTCAACATGGCTGACTACAACACAAGATCAGGATGCTTGGTTCAAATTTGAATCTCATCTCGTTGAAACATATTCAAAGTGACCTGAAGTATATAAACCCACTTTGCACATGAAATAGATGTTACTTATTACTATACTATTCGTACATTGCATAGTATTATAGTAGGGGAGATTTGTCTACAGTTGACACCAGTTATTGCCCACTCTCGAGCAAACACTATTTTAATAGATCCAGTCAATTAATAGGGATGAAGATAACACTTCTAAAAACAGAAATGCAGATCTCAAGTGGTAACTGGATAATCAGGGAGTCAGTGTAAATAAATTCCTAATAATGCACCAATATTATACAAATTGTTAATTGAATTGCTAAAATACTATAACTACAATTCTACCACGATTGAAACTTCAATGGCACAATACCGCATACTCGTAACAAAGAACTTTTGAATAATAAGACACACAACTAGAAAAATAAATACAATAAATAGAGTCAGGATGTGGGGGTAAGTGTTATTGCGAAAAAAAATCCATCACATACAAAGGCGAATACAATAAAATAAAGTAAAAATACATGATAAATAGGAGCAAACACAAAACCAATATACCACTCGATAGTTATCATAAATTTATTTTTTATTAAAATTTGTATGATCTATTAACGAGTATATAATTTTGTAAAGGATTCCATTTGAGGTACTTGCTATGGAGCAGTATTTTATGAAGGAAAATCAGAAGATTTTTTTTTATTTTCATATTCAATATATTATTTAACAAAATATGATATTCACTTTAAATACCTACAATTATACAACATGTAGACACAGAAGTTATTATTACATTATTTGTATATTACACAGAGGACTGAATTAACAAGCAATTTTTATACCATGTATCACAAAACCTGAAAACACCTTATCACACACAGAGTGACTGTTCAAGGCTAAAACTGTGTTGTATGTATTCAATAAAAAGACTACAGGTTTGCATAATTGTATCTCAATGCAATTGAAAATTATTTGTTGGTTGAAATTTTAAGAACACCAAGCATGCACAACTCAATACCAGTGCTAAAATGAGTATGCAGGTATTATCATCAAAACAATTTAGCATTATTGATATGGGTATATGTAACTTAACTTGGTTTATATTATATTCACAATAGAAAACATGCGATTCCTGTCAGATGATGGCGACCATGGTTTTGTTTTTATGTTATTTAAAGATTTACAAATGGAATTCCTGGTCGTAGAAAGATACAGAAATGCGTTTTGACACTGTTACATACAGAAAGATTTAATACCGCCACAAGGGTCCCCATAATTTGTCTGACAATGTTGAAATAAGCAGACAGTATACAGAGCATGCCACTCTATAGAAGCCTTGGGACTACAGTATTTTTGGTATGCTACTAGTTCACTGCTGCTGATGTGTTAACACAAGTACAGCCACAGTGCTTTAAAGATAGATAGTGGGAATGGCAGTATCAAGAGTTTAGTCATAACAATTATTAGTAAATTCGTCTTGTGGCATACTCCAAGACCAGACTGGCTGCTCCCATCAATGCTGGTTCTTTTAACAGAGACACTTGTACTTTGACACCACGTGCTGATGGCAACGCTTTGTTCTCAATTGTCTCTCTGACAATGTCGACGTATGTTGGCGCTAAGACTCCACACAAGACGACTAAGGTTGGGTTCAGTAGATGCAGAATACTGATAACAGCGGTACCTAAAGCCTCACCACCTGATGGAGGGGAAAAAATTAAAGTTTAAAAATTTGCACTGAACATGCATGCTCAATACATTTTATGGATGTGAACTACTTTAAATTATCCATTGCAGATAACTCTTACGTTTCATATATATTAATCCAGGACATTACAAGTCATTGAAATGAATCATTACATTACATCTAGCATTGTAATTTTTAAAACAAAGATTTTTATTTTAATAATGATTACTTTTTAAGCAATTTAACTTGCTAAAACAGGTTTTACAACTGTTCTATTTTACTTAGTAAATCGTGTTTTAACGTACCATGGTGATGATTACGCAATATTGATATCTTTAAAGTGGGTGATAGCCACAGTGACCTTTGACATCATTCACTCAACATGCGCATATAATTATTGATATTTTAATAGAAATTCAGAGAAATTATTACAGACAAGGTAATAAATTATGATGTCCTATAGTATTTAAATACTGGGCACTTATCTGCATCAAAAGACGGAAAAGACAAAAAAGTCTGCATCACACTTACCAAGGTGAATTATTTTCTCGGCTTTCTTGTTACCCAATTTTGCTGCTTGTATAAGATGTTTAGCAGATATGATTTCATTCGTGTCATTTTCATACCATCAACTATTAACTCACCAGCTGTGAATATCAAAAACAAATATATCACTTCATTGCAGGAAAAGTAAGACGAGCGTAAAATGGATAGTCAGGGATGGAAATAGACTTTTTTCCCTGCATGCATAGTGTGCATGTTGAATTTGAAATTTACCTGCAGCACTAAGTTGTTGTCAAATGCACCACTTTTAAAGTTTAAATAAAATTTACATGTTCTCGATTGATGCGATCAAGAAAGAATTTGCTTTTTTTTTAGTTGTCTCACAATGTTGGTTGAACTTAATTTAGGCTTAGTGAATATAATCAGAAAATGTTGTTAATTTTAACATGCACAGCGTGCACATTATATTTTGAGTTTACTTGCACTACCCGGTAGCTAATAATCTAGGTATTTCAACCCCTGATAATTCTTTGACACTACGAACTGTATTTAGATTTTTTTTTAAAAACTTCTGTCACACTGTTACTTCTGTCACACTGATACATTGTGGTGGTTCTGTCAAAACGAGATAGATTCTGACAGAACATGGCTAAAATATACATTTCTGTCAGAGAGATGATCTGGCAAATATGCACTCTCATGATAAATGGTCAAGTGCAACTTCTCCCTCATTTTTAAAATACTTAAGAGGCAAGACCTGCAGTCGAACCCAGATTCTTGAGAGCATCCCAATCATGGAGTGGTCACTCTACCCACCAAGCTAAGCAAGGATGTATCAGATGTGAGAGTAAATTCTGATCTGCTTTAATTATTGTCTGAGAAGTATTTTAGCAATGATGGGTATTGATACAGCAAGAACTCCACCATATAGTGTCTGTTTCCAGT